TAGTCGGCGAAGCTCTGAATCTGAAGCTTCTTTCATATTGTTAATTGATTCCTGCTCAGAATCTATTCTGTAACATGCCAGCTATCCAAAATCAATTATCTCAATAGATAAAGCAAAGCACCTTTAAAGACAAGCATCCGAGGTTTTCAACACCACAGTAATCATGAGTTTTCAAGATACATGGCTTTGTTGACACAAAGATCAGAGAAAAGATTCTATCAAGGAGGCCGCACTGAAATCTACGGGGCTCAGATAGAAAGCTTAAAAAGCTCTCCACAACCCCACCGTTCAGGTGACTGAGACATGTTTATCTAAGTTTTAAGCCTTCCTACCTTACGTTCAGTTTCTTTTCTCACAACGAATATTACTGAACCTCCTCTTTCCTATCTTGCCCTTCATGTTCCCAAGGAAAATGGTAATTTCTATATATTGGAAAACAAGGAAAAATCCTTATTTGAAAGGCAGAGCTTCTCTCTCTCTCTCTCTCTGTGTGTGTGTGTGTGTGTGTGTGTGTGTGTGTCTTCCATCTGTGGCTTACTTCCAAATGCCAGCAACAGCCAGAGCTGCACAAGGCTGAAGCCACTTCCCTGGTACCTTCCCCAAGTCTCTCATGTGGGTTTGAGGAGCCCAGTAATTGAGCCATCATCATCATCTGCTACCCTCCCAGGCACATGAGCAACAAGCTGGATCAGATGTGGAGTAAAGGCTGGCACCATTGCATAGCAGGTTAAGCAATGTCAGCATCCTATAAGAGTGCCAGTTCAAGTCCTGGCTACTCCATTTTCGATCCAGCTCCATGCTAATGTACCTGGGAAAGCAGCAGGAGATGGCCCAGTTCTTGGAACCCTGCACCCATACGGGAGACCTGGACGGAGCTCTTGGCTCCTGGCTTCAGCCTGGCTGACCACTGGCTGTTGCAACCAACTGTGGAGTCAAGCCGTGGATAGAAGATACCTCTAGTTCTGTGTGTATGAATAATAACTAAGAGTGTCTAAGTGGAATAACTGGTTCCACTCTTGGAGGAAAATAAAATGGAGCAGCCAAGACTATAACTGTTACTCGACTATGTGCTGTAGGCACCCCAGTGACACACTGCTTAACCCACTGTGCCACAATGCCAGCCCCTGGTGTAAAACTTTTAAATATATGGCACTGCTTTGGGTATAGAACCAAACCCTGGGGAATTGGGTTAGAGTACATTAATGCAACTGTATTCTACTCCCAGCTCCACCACCTAAATCATATGATGGGAAGTCTGTGACTTGCTCTGGGCCTCTGCTGCCTCATGTCAGAGGAGCAATTTTTGAAATGCATGGAGTCATTTCTGCTGTCTACCAGCCTTAATGGGCAACACTGTACAATGTATAGTACAGCCCACACCAACGCAAGATTATCCGGCCCGAGGTGCCAGTAATATCTGGTGCCTGGTTCAAATGCCCGAGCGCATGGTTGTTTCAACAGTTCTTGAAAACTACACATCCTTTGGGTCTTAAGAGTTGCTTCACTTGCTGAGGAATTTGTTCCTTTCCTTTCATACTCTTTTTTTCCCTACTACACCAACACAGCACACTGCACTCTAACATAGCGTTAACATCTTAGGATGTACAATTCCTGCTGCTTCACTTCACTCCAGCTGTCAGGCGCTGGCGGCCCTGGAATATGAAACCCGTCTGTTAACACACCATTACTTACCCCCAAGTCAGCCGGTCTAAGTAGCTATTCACATAGTAGGCTGTTTGTAATGTCAACTCCCTGATTTATACTTAAAAATATGCTGGAATCTCCACTAAAACCCTTATTGTTTCAGGTTTGCCAGTAGAGGCATGAAAATCTCTCCCTGGGATAAGAGACATGATGTTTTTATTTTTATCTATTTATTTATTTTACAAATAACTTTGAACCGACTTTTAAATCCAAGAATGTCAAAGAGAAATTTTTCTTCTTTACTCCTGAAACATAAAACTAGATTTTTTTTTTCTTTTAGAAAAGTTCAAACAACAGTCCATACTTTAACATATTTTTCCAACATGGAAAAAAAAAATTTAACCTTGCTGTGTCATCAAAGTAAGCTGTAAGGTACGCTTTCACAAAAGAAGGGCCTAGGGTCAGGCATTGTGGCATAGGAAGCAAGGTTACTGCCCGTGACACTGGCATCCCATGTGGGTGCTGGTTCCTGTCCCAGCTGCTCAACTTCTGATCCAGCTCCCTGCTAATGCAGGGAAAGCAAAGAAAGATGGGCCGCTACCCCCCACAGGGGAAACTCAGCCAAGCTCCTGCCTCGAGCCTCGTACAGTCCTAGCCATTGTGACAATCTGGTGAGCGTGCCAGCAAATGGAAGCTCTGTCTCTTTCTCCCACTCTCTTTAACTGACTTTCAAATTAAAAGAAGAAGATTCTTTCAGTGAGGATTTTTACAAAAGAGCAAAGTTTCTTCCATATTGAAGTTCTAGGAGATTATGGGGATTTCAGGTTTTCTTGTACAATGACTAATCTTAAACAAACTTTGATATGATAAATCTCATTACCTAATTTCACAGCCACATCCCCACTCACATGGCATTTAGAAGCTTACAGTGGCATTCACAATGGGCACTACAACTTTATGGTACAGAGGTAAAATAAATAAAGCCATTCCAACATGGAGATGGCCAGCATAACAATCACGCACTACAATGGCTATGGACCAAACAATCCCAAACTCAGCTCCCCTTCGCTGGGAAAAATGCTTTTGGACATCCTAATAGTATCAGGAAAAAATGCTAACACAGGAGTAAGAGAGGAAAGCAGAGTGGAATAAGAGAACTGTCTTAATGTAAGTAAGTATTGTTGGCAATGTGTGGACATACTGCTAGAGTGAGAACCTGGAAGAGTTCCTTTGTAAGGAAGGGATCTTAAATTGTCTTGGTTTATAAGCTTCATTTTAAATTTGCCTCTCACGTAATGAAGACCAGATGAGCTACAACGCGATGGTAACAGAAGTAGTGGTGCCAGTGATGAGTCAGAAATGGCAAATGCCTACCACATCAATGAGCAACAAAGCTCAACACAGAAGGCCCGCTATCACGCCAGCACTCGGCTAAGTACTTCACATACATTATTTACCTTTGCCATGTTAATGTCATTTTTGTAATTACCATGATACTTTACCAACCATACAAAGTCACACATTACTACTTCTCCACTTCAAAAGAAGAGATTGATTTTGACAAGTCATATGCAGCAGAACTGAGATTCAAAGTTAAGTCTGGCTCCTCAGAAACCGGAATTTACAAGAGGAAAAGACAGCTTCAGACTAGGAAATCCACAGGGGGAAAAAAAAAAGCTTTATAGAAAAGTTAGAGAAACTGCATAATGGGAAATGAGTAAAACAGAAAAAGAAGGTCATGCCCCACATAGGGAATGCATGGGCCACAATAAAGAAAAGTGGCAATGAATGGGGTATGCAGAGGTAGAGACGGGGACAGCTCTACAGAGCCACGGGCCATGCTAAGCCAACCTGCCACCCCTGCAGCAGAAAATCAACGTGTCCCAGTCTTGAAAAAAGCAACACTTGTTCAGGAGCCAACTCCATCCTCTACGAGAAGGATGGATGCAGACAAGACCTGCCCTGGTCTGAGCATCCACACAGCCAAACTCAGTTCTGCAGCCCCCGAGCTTCTAATGCTCTTACGGAACACGGAGACATGGCAAGCAAGAGGTTGTCAAAGCCCCACGGCGTCTCAGTGAGGTCCAGAGAAGAACAAGTCATGAGGCTTGAAACTGGAGCCTCTCGGTGCCAGCTAGGTTTGTTTTTCCTCAATGTTTCATCAGAAGAGCTTTACAAATGTGTGAGATAAAAGTTGTGGCTCACACATAACAGCAGCAAACAAGTTTTGACATTTTATCTGCTCTGCACATGGTACATGTGTTTGACAAGAACAGCACAAAAAGTAAAATCTGTGAGCTCAAGAGAGAACAACAACAACAATTCCTCAAAAAAAGTTACCTCTGCACTCACTCGGAGGAACAGTTTGCCATAACTTTCCAACAGCCTGTAGGATATTAGCCACAGGGTAACAGCAGGGGAAACGTGATTCTGGTTTTGAGGAGCTATAAATCCTTCATCAAAAGTAATGAAGCATCCTCTTACCACTATTGCTTAAATTAGAGAAACAGCAAGTGAAGAAAAGAGACCAAACGAGACAGAGCTTGGCTGAAATGAACAACAGGGCAGACAAAAGAAAAATTCCAGCAATAATTCCATCTCATCATTGCTGCCTGCTTTTTGTAAGAGTTAACTCTGCATCTCTTCCAGAACCGTATGACCATAAGGAAACACTGTGAAAATAATGGAATTAAGCCATCTTCAAAATTACATGCATACACCGTTTTTTCAATTTAAAGTAAAATCTCAACCCGGACGTAACTCCAGAGAACAATTTAAGCTGGGAATGCATAAAGAATTTGATCAAAATGTTTGATACTAACACCCATCAACCATGAAACAGTCTAACAGCAAGGTCAAGCTTATACAGAATTAATGGTAATAAAAAAGACAAAAATAAAGTAATACCGTGCATACCACCTACTGCACCCCAGATGCAGCTGGGGGGTATTTCAGAAGATGCTCTGGATGTGTGTCTGCACAGGCTTCCTGCGCCTAGAGCACATTCCTCAACTTGAGAAGCAAAATGGCTTTCTAGAAAATCACACCCCTAAAATGGTATACAAAATCTTTTATACACCCACACACACACACGAATAAATCATTCTTGCTAAGCTGGGTCCACGGCTTTTATCTTTTCCTATAAAATGTTCAAAACTTAGGCTGCTAATGTTCCCCTCCCAGGTCTTCAGCAGTGCTTGGTAAAACAGACGCCGAACTCCTGTGCTAGGACCTGCAGCTATGGTCCCAATCTCACTCTACTATCAGTGGACCTAAAAGCAGGACCAAACATGGTCAGAGCAAAACCTTATTATCTGACACTAGGAAATCATACTGAATTGAGAATACCAACCCACCAACCAGGTAGGCAGCTTCTCCCAGGGGCTCTTCAAACACCACACCTAGTAAGTAGGGCTGGTTGCTGAGACAAAAAGTTGAGGCTCTAAAAGAGCAAATCTCCAAGCTTCTCAGAATGGAGAAGGACTTCAAAACAAGTTTAACTGACTCCAAAACACAGATAAACTTGCAGAAATTAAAGGGATTTCCGTTGACTGCACTTTCAAAAGCTTCAAACGCAAGTGCAACTAACAAATATGAATTGATTCAGTCAATAAGTTAAAAATTCTTATACATCTATAGAAACACTTTGCATATAAACACACTCATAGCTAAAGAGGTTTAGTGTTACAAACGTAGAAACGTCTATATTTTTGGTGGTGGTGGTGTGAGAGAGATTGGGGCTTAAACTACTTTCAAGTGATTTGGATTAAAACCAGTTATTATTTGCACGAGGTCCAAAAACCGAATCACATGCAAAGTTGGGAACTGAATCCAGAATGCCTACCACCCACGATGCTGTGCTCCTCCCTACAGCATGGGGCGGCTCTGAACAATGGGGCCTGCCTGAGCAGCAGTGGAGTGGGGGTTCTGACCCCTAGCGCACAAGGTCGAGGCTTTCCATGAACCAGCACTTCACCTCCTAGAAACTGGAGTCTCAGATCGCAAGCGGAAAAGCTCAGGGTGGTCTTTGCACTTTGGCACTTTGTTCCCCTGTGTCGGCTACCAGCAGAGGAGGGAGCTGCAGATTCAGGTGGATTTCCAGGGTGGGAGAGCTATGAAAGCACACATTCTCAGAAACTGTGCCTGCTTCTCAAAGTGATCCAAGGATGCAGATGACAGCCATAGGACTGGGCAGACTTATCGAGTGACACAGTCCCAGCCCTAAAGATGCGATTCTTAGCAACAGTCACACAATTGCTTCCCCCAGATCTATCAGAACCTCCTAAGAGACATAAACACCAGATAAAACAACAAATACTTTTAAACACAAAAGCATTACAGAAAGCCACATGGTACCTGTGTTCATCGAAAGAAGGAATGGGTTAAACAAAGCTGTACAGAGAATACGAAATTGCAACAGAAAGGTTAGCACTCCCACAACTGAACAACTGAAAATTTACAATCAGGGTCTCAGAAGAATTCGTAAAAATTAGGCAATATTTGAAGGGATTTTATATGAGAATTCCTCAGGAAGTGAATTCAAAGACACACAAAGCATAACCTAGTGACTAAGACACTCTCATTCCACCAAGGAGTACCAAGCTCCATCCCCAATTTCAGTTTCCTACCAAGGCAACATTCACAGCCCAAGGTAACAGGTTCCTGCCACCACGTGGCAGACTTACACTGAGCTCACGGCTACCAGTGCTGGCCTGGTCCAGCCTTGGCTGCCACACACATTCACGTGTGACCTAGAAAATACATTTTTTCTCTCTCTCTCATTTCCCTTTTCATAAAAATAAAATTTAAAAGGAATAAAATCACCCTAAACACGCTGAAAGGTCAAAGACAAAATATGCTCACAGCAGCTGGAGAAGATTCAACCCAGAAAAGAGTGAAGATATTGCAGGCTAATTGCAAACTTTGCAACCATAATAACAGAAGGCAGAAAGCACAGATGGCCCAAGTAATACAACAACCCAGTCATCAACCTGAAGGCACCCATCCAGCAGACTGACATCCCAGGACAGGATTAGCATGATCACATTTTCAGTTACAGATGTCTTGCTCCCCCATCCACAGGCTCAGTTTCCATGGTTTCAGTTACGTACAGTAAACCAACATCCAAAAATACTAAGTTGGGAAACTCTACAAACATGTAATGGCTTTTAGCTGCACTGTGCGCTAACCAGTGATGAGATTCAGTGTTGTTTCATTCTGTCCCACCTACGACGTGAATCATTTTGTCCCGCGTATCCATGTTGTGTATGCTACCCACTGCTCAGTCTCTTACAAGTCATTATCAGGTTTACTGTCGATGTATGCCAACGCTTTGTGATGAAGAAATCTTTGTTTTTCTTAACAAGGACCTAAAAGCACAAAAATAGTGCTACCAGAAACTTTGGTGTGCCAAGGAGGTGCCACAAAATGCTCCTTTTTAAGTGAAAAGACAGTTTCTTAACATGCAAAGAAAAAAAAAAAGTATATACTAAGGATGCTGAGATGTATGTAAGATGGAATATTTTCTGTGACATTATTTAGAAGGGGAAAAAAATGCTGGTTTTGCTGTTACATCTGAAACAGCAAAAGCTACAACCACAGTGAGCTATTAGTGCTTACTGAAGATGCAAAAAGTATCTTGAACACGCCCGATCTCATCTGATCTCAGAAGATGCAGAAAGTATGCAAGGTCAGCGTTGTGACTCAGTGAGCTAGGCCACCACCTACAGCACTGGCATTGCAGAGAGGTGCTGGCTAGAGTACTGGATGTTCCATGACTCAGCTCCCTGCTGACACACCTGGGAGGGCAGTGAAGGATGGCCCAAGTGCTTCGGCCCCTGCACCCATGTCAGAGACCGAGATGAAGCTCTTGGTTCCTCGCTTCTGCCTGGCCCAGCCTTAGCCACTGCAACCATTTGGGGAGTAAACTATTGGACAGAAGATCTCGCTCACCCTCTCTCTATATTGCGCTCTCCCTCTCTCTCTCTCTCTCTCCCTCTGGAATTTTCCCTTTCAAATAAACAAATCTTAAAAGAAATTGATCAAACACAGTATAGGCACCAGGGTTGTAGTGTAAAATGGTTAAGCAGCTGCCTGAAATGCAAGCAACCCTGGCTGCTCCACTTCCAATCTAGCTCCCTGCTAATGTGCCTTGGGAAGCAATTCAACATGGTCCAAGGGCTTGGACCCCTGCACCCAAAGAGACCTAGAAGTTCTGGACTCTTGGTCTGCCTGGCCCAGCCCTGGGAGTCGTAGCCACTTGGGGGGTGAAACAGCAGATGAAAGACAACTCTGCTTCTCAAACAAAAAGTAATTACTCTTAAAAAAGCGGTGTGGGGGTGGGGGGGTAGGGAGAGTACAAGTGTACGTGGACTTGGGCACTACCGAGGGTCCCAGTTATTGGCTGGGGTTCTTGAACACATTCTCCACAGGCAAAGCCATCCGAAGGGAGCTACTCCAGTTCAGCACCAAGAACTCTGAAACAGGATGCTACTAGTTACGAGTCCATTGGCTTCCCAGCTGACCTTCCCTTTCCAATCTTCTTGACTAGAACTACCATTTCCCTCTTTAAAAGTGTCAGACGTATCTCTGGGCCCCACATAACCAACCCACATCTCTCAGTCTGGCCTTTAAAGTGCTTTACAACCCAGTTACTGGCTAACCTTCTGTGTGATGGATTATACACCTCTCCCCAGACCACGGCCCAGCAAGTGACTAGCCAGCTCCAATCTCTGATTATCCGCAAAATTAAACCTACAAAACTAACTGCCGAGGCTAAATAAGCCTAAGCACTCTAGACTGAATGTGTTGCTCCACAAAACCAAGATGTGGAAATCCTACCCCTTAATGTGATGGTATTAGCAGGTGCAGGTTGAAAGAGGTGATCAGGTAAACATAAGGTCATGGGTGTGAAGCTCCCTGTCATGGGATTAGTGCCCCCTCTTCTTTTTTACACATGTTTATTTTTATTTGAAATAGCTAGAGAAAGAAAGACCGCACACACTCACACACACACACATGCACAGTCTTTCCATCCATTGGTCCGTGCCCCAAATGGTCACAACAGCCCAAGTTAATCCAAAGCCAGGAACTGCAAGTTACTTCAGGATCTCTCACATATCTGCAGAACTTGAGCCATCCTCCATTGCTTTCCCAAGCCACAAGCAGGGAGCTGGAGCAAAAGCGGAGCAGCCAGGACCTGAACAGGCACCCATATGGGATGCCAGCGTGCTGCAGGCTGAGGTTTAACCCACTATAGCACAGCACCAGCTCCCAAGGGATCCGCACCCTTTAAAGAAAAACACCAGAGCTCTCAGTCACGTGGAGGAAGGGAACCCTCACTAAGGACTAAATCTCCTGAAAATATCTGCTTTTTAGGTCATTCAGTCTGAGACCTTCTTTTACAGTAACCCAAACTCACCAAAACATCAGATAAAGCAATCAGTACAGTGCCTGGCCCATAGTTTTTTTGTTTGTTTGTTTGTTTGTTTTTTAAGATTTATTTATTTATTGGAAAGTCAGATATACAGAGAGGAGGAGAAACAGAGAGGAAGATCTTCCATCCAATGATTCACTCCCCAAGTGAGCGCAACGGCTGATGCTATGCCAATCCGAAGTCAGGAACCAGGAACTTCTTCCAGGTCTCCCACGCAGGTGCAGGGTCCGAAAGCTTTGGGCCGTCCTTGACTGCTTTCCCAGGCCACAAGCAGGGAGCTGGATGAGAAGTGGAGCTGCCAGGATTAGAACTGGCACTCATATGGGATCCCGGTGCATTCAAGGCGAGGACTTTAGCCGTTAGGCCACTGTGCCGGGCCCATGACCCGTAGTTTTTAATAAGTAGTTGTCTTACACAACATTCATGCTTCCAAGGCCATGCCTTAGCTCGTAATATCTCCTCTATGTTGCCAGTGTTCAGTATCTCCAATCCCCACAATCTGCATTTACAGAAATCAAAAGTATTCCTAAAAATTCAATTTTCTCCTGAATCTCCAGTCAAGGCAATCCATACAAGTGCTCTCTCTCCCAAAAATATAAGGTATGTACCAAACATTCCTCTTACAGGAGACGTTAGCTTAAATTGAAACGGATCATGAAAACGGATACTACCAAATAAATGGATTAAGTGATGAAATATTTCAACATTCTAATAGACACACTGCAAGGGGGAAAAAAAGAATCAGACACCCCTCAAAAACAAATGCAGCTGGCTTTGGATCTGCTTGATTCTTTGTAAGCCTCCAGACAGCTGCACTTCATACTGAAGACATTAAATATTTCCCTTAGATAACACTAACACAGCAAGGAAGTGCATGTTGGACAGGAAGAAATGAAGGGCTGCCTCACTTGCTTCAGGAAACATCTTTTAGAGTGCTGTTCCAAGGGAAACCCACTTGACCTTGCACTCCTACCACCCAAGAGGAAGAAATCGGGTCCTCCAGCACTGGCTTGACCGGCACAGCATAGATGCTCAGTAAACACCGGCCAACTCAGTAAAGCCAAACGCAGTCAGTTATTTAGGTTGTGGGGCTTCTTTATTACTATTATTCACAAAGAAGAGTAGGAGCAGGAACTGTCAGCGGCTTTTCTTCAGTTTCCAGTTAGCCAATTACTGAGGAAGCCATAGTTGAATCCCTCACCCAAAAGCTAACGAGAAGCAACCTCTCAACTGAGTCACCACAAACACACGATTACATAACTGCATTTCAAGTCAGCTCCTCCTTCGCTCAATGTGGCTGGCATTAATTAAGAAGCTAGGAAAAGGCACCATCCACATGATATCACATTAAACTAAACAAATTACGCTTCCCCATTCCTAGTGCTAAATTTAAAATTCCACTGTTGTATCTGCAGGAAGCAAAACAATTATTTTTTGCATAAAAAGCATCCTGATTAAAAACAGACAAAAGAATCCAATAGAAAAACAAAACAAAACAAAAAAATAGAAAACAATAAGCCAGAGACCCACAGCTCAAAAACAACAACCTACTATATCCTGCTTCATTTTCTTCCAGATATATTTTTTTTCCCCAGAGAACATGACATTTTGCCTAATCTGACCATACCCTAAATACTATAAGGACCCACAGTGTTGCTTCAAAGAACATTTCTCTATGTTCTGGGTTTTGTTTTGGTTTTGGTTAACCTTGAAACTGTATAACACAGACGGAGCATTTTTTTTTCTAAACTTTTTATTTTATTTGAAAGGCAGAGTTAGAGCTCTTCCATCCACTGGTTCACTTCCCAAATGCCTCCAACAGTCAGGACTGGACCAGCTTATGGCCAGCAGCCAATAACTCAATCTGGGTCTCCCAGCCGGGTAACAAGGAACCAGTACTGGAACCATTACCCACTGCTTTCCAGGGTGCCATAAGAATGCAAGTCAGGAGCAGTCATGGGACTCAAACCCACACACTCCATGGGGCACCTGATGCCCTGTGCCAAACAAGCACCCTGAAAGATTTTACACTTAAACCAAAGTTAGGAAATACTATTCTCTTCCTCAGAAGCTACTATAGTAAAAACTGAGACTTTCCTGAGTTCCTAGGGCACTGAAGCTGGCTCCATCAATAATTTCTAGACATTTTAGCAGTGTTTGAGAAAATTTCATTGGTTTTCCATCAACAGAGAGACAAACTACATATATAAGAGTCACCTCTAGAAAGCTACAGGAAAATAAAAAGGTAAATTCAGCTTCAGTTCCCCACCCCCCCAAATTTTGTTATCACTGAGAAAATACAATCTATTCATAGCCAACAATTAAAGGCCAGTGTTGATGCAACACGCAATCACACTGACTTTTCAAGGGCTGGGGACACTTCATTCACTCTGGATCCTTAACACAAAGAATGGTGCCTGGGATAACAGCAGGATCAGTTGCACTGAAGTGAACTGCAGATCTAAGCTCAGAGCTAGCAAGAATCTCCAAAGCTGAAGTTGTTAGACACTGGAGGCAGGACAGATGGCAGAATTTGATTTCCACAATAATTTGAGGAAAGAAAGCTGAACCATAGAAACCTCTGTAAATTAAAGACAGAAGGAAAAACATTTATATAGCCCTAAATGTATTAAATAGTTTGGTCCTCTGCACAAAAAACACTGAATGTTGTATGTAACACACAGCAGGTATTTGAAAACAGAAAACAGGGCTGGCACAGCAGCACAGCAAGCTAATTCTTAGCCTGCAGCACCCACATCCCAATTCATGTCTCAGCTGCTTGATTCTAACCCAGTTCTCCGTTAACGGCCTCAGAAAGCCGTGGAGGATGGCCCAAATCGCTGGGTCCTTGCACCCACATGAGAGATCAAGAAGAAGCTCCTGGCTCCCAGCTTTGGATCACATCAGCTCAGCTCTGGCCACTGCAGCTACTTGCGGAGTGACCCAGCAGATGGAAGACTCCTCTCTGGTTCCACTTCTCTCTGTACAAAATCTGCCTTCCAAAAAAATAAATCTTAAAAAAAAGAGAGAGAGAGAGAAGAAAACTAATACTAAATACTATAACATTTCCTGAGCATCAAAGCAAGGATTAGCTCTCAGCAAGCTTTCTGTACACCATGACAAATAGCAAAGAAAGAGTAAATGAAGAATTTAACTCTCCACATACAATATCAATGTCCTTGCTAAACCAGGTGTAAAAATGGTGCCTATCAGGATTTCTTTATACTCCAAGAACTATTTTCATATCCTGCTAGTATCCAGAGGTTATGTAAAAAGATGCTATCTTTTATATGCAACCCTAGCAGCATTACTTTGCACCATGTGATTATAAACAATTCTTAAAAGAAAGTCCAGCTCATGACTACGGCATTGTTCATCAGACTCCACTTATCTAAACTTCATTCCCACAGATTTTCCTTTCTTCTCCAACACCTGTGCTTTCAAAAAATTAAAGGAATTCATGGAGGAGGAATTTATTAATATCACATCCCTCTAACAGCTGCCGGCTGAAGGCATTAAATGCATAGCTGCTTCCATGACATATGTGGCCAGCCCAGAAAGCATGCTTGATAAAAGTCTGGTTTCTTTCAAAATGACTAACTAAAACTTTCTACCCTTTGGGGCTGCCTTCACAACAAATTCCACCAGAGTTCAGGGGTTTTGTAGATAAATCTCTGTGGGTGTAAGACTCCAAGGACACGTGCTCAAGCATCTTTAGTAGCTATCCTTCGGCATCCCTCACCCCAAGCGCTGGACAACAGATGCCCATCAGCCAATCATCCGGGAATGAGCAGCTGAGCCGCAGCAGTTCGTGTTCTCGGGACAGGTGTTCTGTGTTTTTCTTAAAGCACACAGGCCAGTCTAATAGCAAGTATACTTTCCAGATCATTAAAAAAGAATCAAAACAACATAAAAGGCCACTCTAAAGTACATTAGAGCAATCTAAACAAATGCAAATGGAAGAATTCATCTTGTTTTCCTGCTAATCTTCATTCTCACATTTTGTACCTTTCGGTATATAAACTCTCTCATCCCAAGAATGCAAACTGTTACGATTTTAATTCTACAAGAAGCATTTCTTTCCAGGACATCAAAAGATGTAGAAACCTAACAGTAATTACTGCGTAATAAATCACAAGACATGTGGCATAATGTTTGTAAAGCTGAATTGCACCTGTCACCAATTTAACGAAAGAATATATACAAAGCACACAGCTTATAGCACTGAACAATTTGGTTACACTGATCTTATTATTCCCTGTCAAACAGAATAATTCAGGTAACCAAAATCGAATTAATAAGAACAATTCCACCACCCTGGGCAAGTTATCGAATTTGTCCATATTCTGCTTCTTCATTCTCAATGTGGTCAAAACAAAAAGAACAGCTCCTCAGAATCGTTATCAAGATGAAATGAATCAGCTTCTATTAATTATTATAACAGAGCCTGCCAAAGGGTAACTCCCAGGGAAATACTGGGTATTAAAAGGAAATGTTTGCTAATCAGAATGAAAATGCAGAACAGTTACAGCAATTGAAAAGAATGATTATAGAAACGTAAGGAGACACAGCTGTTAGGATCTGCGGGCTAATAAAGTTCAGGAATTGGCTAAGAGAACAAAGCAAATATGTAAAAAGGGACCTTAACTAAAAAAAAAACCCTCACTACATCCCTTCAGAATAGACAAATATCCCCTTGCATCTTGATTCTGTCACTAGTTCTAGCTTGAAAATCTTGATTCCTCTTCCTAGGTCAGCAGGTAGATCCTAACCCTCAGTTGTCATAAAATATATATATATAGCTGGTTAGAGCAAAATCAGAAGTCTTAAATTTTTAACATTTTTCTAGTTTTGTTAACAAAGCACCAAGTTGAAACTTATGCCAAATGTTTCTGCAATTAAAACTGCAAACTTCCACGTGAACAACAATAGAGAGCTGTTCCAGTGTGAGAACAGGACAATGCCAGTATGACTGCCACAGTGGGGGTGGTCCCTGCCCACACCCTCGTGCCTGGACAGCCTCCTATCGCCTCCATCGCCAATCCAAGCTGCTTTTGGAAAGCATCTGTGGAAGCAAAGGGACCTGGGTGAACTTGCTCTGTGTCTGAGAGTCCTGCTTCCAGGCCCCCGTGGGGAACCTCCCTTTTTGCCACCACCACCACCCTGAGCGCCCCACTAGAAAAAGCGTGAAACACAAGATGCTTTGTTTGCCTAAATCTGTCCACCCCCACTTCCAAACAGTCCCTTGGTGTTTTACTTGGAACATTCTGGAAAACATCATGGGATAACAGTGACAATTACAGAATAAAGCAACTTCAGAAGCTAGAGAATAAAATGACTTTAGAACTGAAAAAGGTCCTGGTAGAACCAGGTATAAAATGACAGTTCTATCTATTAAGAGAACTAAAGAAAAAGGAACGGTTGTTCTGGCTTTACAAAGCAGACTCCAAGCGGAGGATGCAGTGCACGCGGCTCCCAGGGCATCTTGGTGATGCTTCGGGGCTGCCTGCCATGCCCACATCCTCAGAGGCACGGTGCCTGTCCCTCCCGCCTGCTTCTTTCGCAGAACGAGCCGGCCAGGGGACGCTAGTCCCGCACCTGCAGCTTTGAGAAAGGACCATGATGTAACAAGGCAAGGAGTATTTCCTCGGCAACCAATGACCAGCATACCATAACTCCACCACGAACTTGCTGCTCCCGATCTCCCCTTTCTTTCCTTGTGGCCTCCTTAAAAGAAATCCCAAACACCCTCACTGCGCAGGGCAGCGGCTCTTGAGAAGGAAGTCTGCTAGTGTCGTGTGAATCTGTTTTCTTTCCCTCACACTCTGTCGTCTTCTTGGGACCAAACTTCTCGGTGACCCGGTTCGGCCACTTGTGGATAATAACACAAGGGAAGGAAGTGCGGGGCGTAGCTTCGGGCCAACTTTTTTGAGTCCGTATCCTATCTGACTTGGGAAAACTCTCGGCTCTGACAACGGGCCCAGAAAACATCTGACCCAACTGTGGTGGGCACCGAGACCCTGGCTGCCACGTGCCCAGTTCGGGATACGGAGTCACACCCCGTCCGCGCGGGCCGTCCAAGGACAGCGGATCCAAGGCCAACTCCCGCAAAGTCGCCCAAGTTCCCCCCGGGCTCCCGGCCCGCAGCAAGCCCCGCCGGGCGCCCCCCGAGGGCGCTCCCTTTGTGCAGGGCGCGCCCGGGGCACCCTGCAGCAGCGCCAGCCCGGATTCCCGGCCCCGCTCCTCGGGGACCCCCGGCCTCGCCGCCCGCCGCCCCACGGCCCCGCCGCCCACGGCCCCGCGCCCGCTCACCCCGCAGCAGCAGCAGCAGCAGCACGTCGGGCAGCCGCGCGCAGACACGCAGCACCGGCCGCCGCCTCAGCGCCATGACGAGCCGCCTGAGGGGCCGCGGTGGCTCCGCGCGCTCCGGCTCGCCCGGCCGTCCCCGCGCGCATGCGCTCGGCGGCCGGGACCCTGCGACCCGCCTTCGGTTACCATAGCGACCGCCCAGCCCCACGGAGCTGCTGCCATGGCAACAGAGGAAGCCGACGACTGTTGCTGTGGATGCGGCGATTCTCTGGGAGACCCCACCACCACCACCACCACCACTATCATCACTACCACCACCATCATGACTACCACCACTACCACCACCACCACCACCACCACCACCATCACCACTACCATCACTACCACCACTACCACTACCACCACGACCACTACCACCAACACTACCACCACCACCACCACCATCACCACCACCACCACCACCCACACCATCCCCACTACCATCACCACCCCCACCATCCCCACTACCATCACTACCACCACTACCACTACCACCACGACCACTACCACCAACACTACCACCACCACCATCACCACCACTATCATCACTACCACCACCATCATGACTACCACCACCACCACCACCACTACCACCACCACCCCCACCATCCCCACTACCATCACTACCATCACCACCCCCACCATCCCCACTACCATCACTACCACCACTACCACTACCACCACGACCACTACCACCAACACTACCACCACCACCACCACCATCACCACCACCACCACCCGCACCATCCCCACCACCATCACCACCACTGTAGCGTCTCTCAGTGAACTCCGTAAGAGGGGGGCAAAGAAGCATGTTGAAAAGGAGTACAGATCTGTTTCTGCAGCTATGGAAGGAATCCATCATGACAGGTTTGAGAAGAAACAATAGAATCGAGAAAATGAAGCGTTTCCTAATTTACAAATAAGAATGCAACCCAGTTATCTTGAAAGCATTTTTGCCTTCTTATCTTTCGGGTCCCAAATTAGAAATTCAATGGAAAGGGAAAAAAAGCACTGAAATCTGATAAAGCATAAGCAAGGCATACATTAGTATATTAAAGCAATGTCTTGCTAAAATAAACAGAACTGGTTTGTTTCTGTGGTAAATGAAAGGCATGATGATATGCCAAAATAGTTTATTCTGCAGAAAGGTCGGCTAATTTTTTACTCTGATTTTGAATTCCAGAGGATGGTGGAGCTGGGGGAGAAAAAAGGAGCAGGATCTTACAAGGACATACAGATAAGATGAAAAGAAAGTTACTAAAGTGAACCAGAAATTGAACCATAGAAAGCTGGGACCAGAAATGGGGCCAAAGAAGGCAGCAGACTTGGATGTATTACTTAATACTGTGGGAAATCTTGGAAAAGAACCTATTTTATCTAGTATGGAAAGAACGTCAATGAGGTCTCCAGAATCGATAGGACAACAATTATCAGCACACTTACTAGTAAGATGTACCAGTTTCCAAAACCTAATATTTTCAATGTGGTTTTGTTTTGTTTTTGGAAAGTCGGATTTCCAGAGAGGAGAGACAGAAAGAACTTCCATCCACTGGTTCACTCCCCAAGTGGCTGCAACTGCTGGAGCTGAACCAATCCAAAGCCAAGAGCCAGGAGCCTCTTCCCAGTCTCCCACATGGGTGCAGGGTCCCAAGACTTTGGACTATCCTTGACTGATTTCCCAGGCCACAAACAGGGAGCTGGAAGGGAAGTGGAGCAGCCGGAATTAGAGCCAGCACTCATATGGGATGCCTGTACATGCAAAGCAAGGACTTTTAGCCACTAGGTTACCACACCAGGCCCCATTTTCAATGTTTGAATTAGAGAGTTTAATCACATACAGCCATCCAACTCTTTTTAGTATTATGGGATTTTTATTTTTGTAAAATAGAAATATATATATATATACATGTATATAGCACATATTACATTTATACAATGATCTTTCACAAAGTAGTTTATGGAAAATAATACTATGAAGGCATTGCATGGATTTCAAAAATATTTATACAAAAATACACTTATCTCTTAAGCCCATTATTTACAAACATTATACAAATGCCAAGAGACAGGAAATTAACTGAGGCTGTTGCCAAGAATATGCTTTTACTTATGTCACTTTATAAATTCCTAAAACTTGTCCAATGCTTGCCTATTTGAAAATGACCTTCCCTCAAATCTCATAAAGACAGTTAAAATACAAAATAACACACTAATCTGTTATGTTCTGTTTGTGTTTTCTTTGCTAATACCCTCTTTCTGTGTATGTTATTTTATAGTGATATCTTTCTCTCTCTCCCTCTTTCTCTCCATCAAACAGAAAAGAGAGACATTTAGAGGTGGAAGAGTGTCTTCTTAGGTCCAATGAGTTCTTTTCCTGCCCTCTCAGTTTTCCTGACTGTATCTTGAGCTCCTGGCCACGGGATCAGAAATATTCACCTAACTGGAGGTGTCATTTTGTTCCCACGGGAAATGTGAGTTGGTGTCTGACTGTGGACAGTTTCCAGAATCCAGAGCCTGCTATCTGCTGCCTGATTACCTGTGTACAATGGCTCTCCTCTGTTATACTCTTCTCAGCTGCCAATTATTGGAACTCAATCTAAGATTATAAAGAATCTCATGAATATTCTATAAGGGTCAAGGTTTCCTAGGAGAGTGAATGGCAGATGTTTCCTTGTCCCTGGTGGAGTTTCCATGACATTACCAGTAGCTGAGACACATTTTGGGGGTAGAGGCATAACCTTGAAATGTGGCAGGGCCAGGTAGGACACCTGAGGCTGGGATGTGATTTGCTCCTCCATTGGACCCATTGCTTTCTGGAGAGCTCTGGTCCTGAGAAGGGAATTGGAGCTCAGTGCGACTAGAGGAAAGCCTGGAAGAAATAACAGGACTGTGGGGTCTGTGCCTGTCACAGCATCATTCACTTGAGCATTTTTATTTCCAATGTTTGTTTTAATAAAGAGTGAACGTTTCTTAAAAGAGTTCAGGAAGCGAAATACACTTGTGTTGAACTTACACAATCATCTGCAATACTATTCAATATAAAAACTGCAAATCAAGTGGCAACAAAGAGTCGGCTTCCTTGGAAACTCACATCTGAGCACAGTGGAGGAGTTTGTTTCTTGTAAACTTGAGAAAATTACTTAAATTCCTAAGCCTTGACATTCTTGTTTAAAATAGGGAAAATACTATAGCAAATGGCTATTGCAGGGATCATGTGAGGTTAATCTCTGAAACTTAAGTCCTCAATAAATGTTTATTACTTACACCCCTGCCTTCTCCTGCTATGTTGGTTCAAATTAGGCAAAATGTTTCCAATATTTCTGAAGAGCTTGAAAGGGAGTCAGAAGGAATGGGAAGCGAAGCAAGAGTCTGACATCATTGTTCTCTTGGTGTGCTTATGTTCCCTTTTTGGATTTAACAGTTTAGTATGATTTGTAAGTGCCATTTCCAAGACATCAGTCCATTAAACTATGCAGAAATAAGTTTGCAAAAAGTGTGCAGGTTAATTCTGATTTATTCTCCAACTATAAGCATCAGCAACCCATATGGGCACAGTTTGCATCTCAGATGCCCCACTTCCCACCCAGCTCTCTGCTTGTGGCCTGGGAAATCAGTCAAGGATAGTCCAAAGCCTTGGGATCCTACACCAGCACGGGAAACCTGGAAGAAGCTCCTGGCTCCTGGCTTTGGATTGGCGCAGCAGCTCCTACTGTTGCGACCGCTTGGGGAGTGAATCAGTGGATGGAAGATCTTCCTCTCTGTTTCTCCTCCTCTCTGTATATCTGACTTTCCAATAAAAATAAACCAAAGTTTTTTAAAGTGCACAGAAGAAAAAGCATACTTTAAATGTATTTAACTAGATTGAATATCTAAAATTTCCAACTTTTCAGTCACTTCACTCTTAAGCTATGGCAGCCAAGTAGTCCTTAATCTCAGCTGGGGTAAGCCTCCTAAATGCACTGCATGGCAGATTCCAACTTCCGTGTTATCTTCCGTCCTTGGTCCTTCGAAGTTTCCTTTGGGTTAAGATGGCTGTATGATTGGCATATTCATTGTATGTTTCTCAAGCTTTCCCATTCACTTTCCCAGTGCTTTGGGCTTCCAGGCAAAAATACACTGCATACGTACCTGACAAGTAACAATGATCGTTCCCTTACTCCAGCCACAGATACGTACAAATGCATGCACACCAACTGACTTGGTGTATGCCTGCTCCATTGAAGCCACTCTGCACCCACTGAGCTGCGGGAATGCGTTCTTGGTAAACAAGAGAGTTTTGCTGCGTGAGCTTCCGAACTGTGTGCACTGGCATTGTGTAACCAGGGCCCATGCCACCATACCCCAAACCTCTGTGCTTGATCATGGCTCCGCTTCGTGTGTACTTGGTTCATCACAAAGAATGGACTTTCATTTCTTCCCAGTTGCTAGCGGTGCCATTTGCATCTTTAACTCCCACTGAAGGGGCTCCTCTGGCTACAGCAGCCGACATGTACCCAATGTGATCGGCAAAAAGCTGCACCCGTGCTCTGCTCTCTGTACCCTGTGTCTACATTCTTGAAAAGTAACAATCTGTCACTGTACCATTACACCTCTAAACAACACATGAACTGCACCCGCACATCCTGAGGGAGGTGGGAACCTTTGAGGGAAGTCTCAGACTCCACACTGACCCATCAAGTGTTCCTCTTCAAGGCTCACCAAAGACCAATTGATGTTTCTGTTGCTCCGTTTCTCCTCCCTTTAGATCCCAACTTCCTTGTAATGTTTCTTAACGTTCTGCCCACATTTCATTTCATCTCCTGCTTCTTAAAGCACTGATTTAATTTAAACATAGGCGGGTTCTCCTGATCTAGGAAAATCATAGCAGACTTTAACCTTTGTTTCCTCCAATAAGACAATCGGCCTGTACTCCGTAAAGGAAGCAAAAGCCATACTGATACTAAAAGCCAGTGGCTTCCTAGAGAGAGGCCTTTATCATATCTAATAAACCATGTGTGTATGCACGGGTGTGTAAGAACTCAGCCCTGCGTGTCTGTAAACTGCATTTGAAGAGAGAGTCACATACACTGGGGCAGAAGAATGCCCCAGGTGCATCTTCACCAGACAGGAACTATAGCCAGTGCACCTGAAAATAAAACATCAATAAAGACAGAGAAAGAGAAAGGCAATGCAACACCATGATCAACAGAGGATACAGCCATAAGTAAAAGAACGCCAGCCCCTGCCGGGCCCAGTAATGCTATCCAAGACAGAGAACCGTCAGAATCGCAAATCTTGTCCCCTCGACAAGTTCACCTTTGCTGCCTCTGTCTAGGTGCCTGTTTCCATTCTTTGTAGATGAGAAGAAACAGCGATTGGCTGGGTGCCTCCTACAGACACCAGGGAAAGTGTATCCGGGATAG